CTTTGGACACAGGGACACCCACAGAGTCACAGACAGGACGTCTCTAGAGCGACTCTACAAAAGTCCCCCGACTGGCCAGAGATTTGAACCTACAACTTTCCACACATGGGCCATTAATCAAAGTAATTTGAAAAACTCTTTGAAAAACTGTAAGAATGAAATAAAATAAAAAAAAACTTCCCCCCACATGCTTCTTAATATCCAAACTTTAATTATTCCTAATAGACTGCATTAAATGATATTGCAAGTAAGATGTATTGTAATATGTATTTTAAATCATGATTAAATTGGATTATGTAAAACCATCGCCCTCTGCCATCTGGAAAATTCCAGGTCACATGAGTCATTCTCATAATACTCTGTAGTTCATCATCAGATTTTTCAGTGTTAAAAAATATTTTGAATCTTTCTTTGACCCTGTAATGCCAAATGTGTCATATTTTATACACACGTTTTGAGACGTCAATGCGATTTTTTTACCCCTTAAAAACCAGATGTGTAAAGTTAACACATAAAGTGTGAGCAAAAAATAATAAAACTCATATATGTGAATTAATATTTAATTTCTTGTTTAAAGCATATTTTTATTTAAATCTTAAACCAATTGCACCTTTTTAACATTCTTCATCTTCATCAACAGTCTGACATGCACAGTGTTTATTTGAGCCTTTGTGTTTAACTTAATGTCAGTGGAAGATAGTTTATATGAGTTAAATTTAACATAGCACCAAGTAAATAAGTAAAATGTATTTATGTAGAACCATTGTAGACAAGGATCACAAAGTTATTCACAACAATAATCAAATAAAAATATAGACATTAAAACACAACAATAATATTCATAATTTAAAAGCAAGCCTGTACAAGTAAGTCTTGAGCTACTTTTTAACCGTTTCATTGCAGCTCACAGAAACGAAATCTGAACTGTAGTGGTGGTGCATACCATAGTTAAGAAGCCACAACCTCAAACAGACAGTCTCTTTTAATGTTCAGTCCAAAAAGATGAACCACCAACAGGTTTTGGTCCAAAAATCTCAATGACCTGCATGTTTTATATGACTGCAGTTCACTAAGTAAGTAGGCATTCAACCATGCATAGCTCTGGAAATAATCACAAAGATACATAATGCAAAGACAGCAAAATAGGTGTCAAGTGAGATCACTAGCGAGCCTAATAAGTAGCTGCACTTTGCAGTGAGTGATTTGTAAGTGATCCAAAAAGGACTTCCTGAGGCCAACGTACAGTGAATTACAACTTTGAGGAAACAAAAGCATGAATTATCATTTCTAATTCTGACTTGGACACCGTTCGACTGAGGCGGGCAGCATTTCACAGATAAAATGCAGGATCAAACAAGGCTATTGATATGTGTATTAAAACTAAGAGCCTGATCAAACCTGACACATACATTTTTGACATTTGATTGAAACAATGATGAAGACCCAAGACTAATAATCAGAGTGCAAACAAAGCTGTCAGTAGCACAAACAAAAACTTTTCTCTGTGTTAACTGAAAATAATTAGCAGCCATCCAGTTCTGTATGGCATCAATACAGTCTTAAAGGATGGATATTTTTACAACATTCTTTGGAGTGAAAGAAATGTACAGTTGGATATCATCTGCATAACAATGATATGAGACACATTCAAAGGTGTTGAAGTGATAGCAAATACATATTGATGCATTCTCAATCACCCAGGAAAGTAAATCTCCAAAAAGTTGATTCTGTTCATCTGGACGTAGCATTTTGTGGGAGAAACGTTTCGTCACTCATTCAAGTAACTTCTTCAGTCTCAGCTGACTGCAGGTTACAACCGCTGCCCAAGCGAAAGCCTGTAGTGATCCCATGTGATCCATGTGATCCCCTTTTTTCTAAACACTGGGTCTCTGTGGCTTTTAAACCCCAAAACACGCTGCGCCAAAAATTGGTCCACCCCAAGGATCGGGTCCCCCGACACAAACAGAGCAACATAGTGTAAGCTGTTAAGTGCCAGAAGGATTGCCAGGATTTATACATCGGGGAAACCAAACAACCTCTGGCGAAGCGGATGGCACAACACAGAGGAGCTACCTCGTCAGCATAAATAGGCAGTCTTTTTACACCTACAGGCCAGTGGACACTCTTTCAATGATGAGGATGTACACATCCTGGACAGGGAGGAACGCTGGTTTGAGCGCGGAGTCAAGGAGACCATTTACTTGAAAAGGGAAAGACCATCTGAGGAGGGGGCCTAAGGGTACATCTGTCACCATCTTACAATGCTGTGATTGCAGCCATTCCCCAACTCTCTGTGAATGGTACTCATGGCCATTGATCAGTGGGTTTTGGTCAGTGGTTGTTGATCAGTGGTCATGAGAATTTGCATAATTAAGATTAAGGAACTGACCTCCCAGCCCATAGTTCCTCAGTGGGCTGGTTTCAGTCATTATCCAAATGTACTGTTTATAAGATTTGGGGAAACCTGCAGTCAGCTGAGACTGAAGAAGTCACTTGGATGAGTGACGAAACGTTTCTCCCACAAAACGCTACGTCCAGATGAACAGAATCAACTTTTTGGAGATAGCAAATACAGTGCAAACAGAACAGGTCCCAAAACAGAACCTTGGGACACACCATAGCACAAAGTTGCAAATGAGGACGCCAAGCTGTCAGCAGCAACTGAGTAAGTTCTGTCTGGAAATAAGAATTAAAAACATTTTAAGTCTGATCCAGAGATGCCCAGCCATGTTGCTAACCTGTCAATCGAAATACCATGATCAATTGTGTCAAATGTAGCTGAACAACGTTTTCATCTGCATCTCTCTTCACTAAAATGCCACGAGAAACTCTAAGAACAGCAGTTTCATTAGGGTGATAGATCCTAAAGTCAATAGTTCAAATTATTTGCAATTGAAAAGGGAAAAAAAAATCTGAATTCATTGGAAGGTCTGTAAATGGTTTTGTTGTGTATCTTTCGCGGATGTTGCTTTTGTGCTTTAATTTAAGAACAGTTTCAGTAAAGACTTAATTTTGTACCATTGTAAAATTTTTAACGTAAAATCCTAGTCTGCAAAATAACAGCTGTTAATAGTTACCACATAGATGTGTAATTTTACTCTGCAATGTAAAAGAATAGAAAATGCATGAAGTTGAAAAGATCTTAAAGCTGTCTATGGATGATAATTCCTAAAGTAAAGTTTTGTTGGTGTAAATATTGTTATAATTATCCCGCAGTTTGACATTGGGATGCAATGCTCTGCAGTATGAAAAATATATATACAGTAAAATACAGCAAGGCGCCAGCCAGATTACTCTGGCAGCCATGAAATGGAGGTTTGTGTAGTCTTTATATCAGTCCAGATCTGCTCTGATATCAGCACCACTGGGACATGTGGGAGACCTGTTTCTGTTCTTGGATTACTGCTGATCCCAGCAGATCTCTAACTCTGATTTCACACAAACCTGCTGATGTGTGGAACGTGAAGTGCGAGGAGTTCGAGAAGTTCACTTTTGGACACTGTGAAGGTGATATTAGCGGAACAAGGTGAGCCTTGTTCAAACCAGGGGAAATGTTTACATATTTTTCCAAGCGAAATGTGACCATAAATATGTAAATCTGTGACCATGTTAGTCATTCTGTTGCTTTGTCCATGACCGTGACATGCCACTTGTGTTTATCTTTTGTTACACAATCTTCCGACACTATTGTTTGACCATGACAGATAGATAACTTGTTTCTATAAACTATTCTTGGTCAAAAACCATGCAGACTGCTGTCATGCTGTATGTACTGTTTGGCTCCTTTGAGAAGGTAAATAAAGCTACCACAACCATAATGTATAATACAGTATTAGTTTTATATTTAAAAAAGTAAAGTTTGAAAATAAATGTCATAATGTAACATATCTAAGAAAAACTTAAAGGTGCCAATCCATGAACTCATGAGTAATTTGCACCTTTCTTTCATTATCCTTCCCCGTGGCTGCAACCTGATTTTCTTCCTCTGTCTCACATCTTTTGCACCAAACATGATGTTAAACAAGAAAAATCTATCATATATTCTTTCTTCTTGGTTATATGGGCAATTTGTGTTGCTCATTCTTTATTACTGCCATCATGTCAAATTCACATCAGTCAAAATTAAACAAGAATTACTATTGTTAAGCAAAACAGTCCCAGAGCACGATGCTTCACTGTTTCTTCTCCAAACATGGCTCTTGTCATTGCGGCCAGCTCAATCTTTGTCTTGTCTGACCATAAAACCTTTCTCCAGCTGCAAGTTTCAGTCAATTTTTAAGGTGCTGATTTTAGAAACAGGTTTCTTTCTTAGTCGGCACCCTCTGCGTTCACGGCATCGCTGTCCACTGTGACACCGGTGTTCCAGCTGTCCCTGGTTCATGGCATGCTTGAGGCTCAGTGGCTCGTGGGTTAATCCTGAGCATACCAACTAATTTCCTTTCATCTGAGGGTGACACTTTATGTCTCCTTCCAGACCTTGGCAAATTGTTGACACAGCTGAATAATTTGTACTAACGTATAGGTTGTTTTTGACGATCTTGTAATCTGCGGTTGTTTAGAAATAACTCTAAACTTTCACAGCTCTCCTTAGATCTTCACAGAGTTCCTCGGATCTTCCAATGAGTATTAGATTTAAGTAAATGTATGTATATATTTGAACCTATATGTATCCTTTTGACCCAGGGTTTATTAAAGATCACGATGACTAAATTACATGACATTAATGCCCATGATGAGCATATGTAAACTTACGACTTGCCAAAGTGTATATTAACAATGGTTTAGTCTCAGGATTCAAAACATATGCTTTGTGGTGTTTGCATGTGTGGGTGGTGTCATGCTTGCGTCTTCTGAACTGAAGCATTCATTTGCCTCCTGAAAATGACTATATTCATTATTTTCTTTTTGCAAATCATATTTAATATCACAACTGTTTCCAGATAATTATTATTTTATATAAGAGCAGAACAGATGAGAAAGAAAATGCAGGAGACTCCTTCTTTAAATAAAATCATATTTATTTTACAAATTTGCACAATTACGGAACAGTGGTGAACATTCATACAAGTAAACACCTATAAATGTGTGTAGCCTGACACACTTGTCTCACACGCGCGCGCACACACACACATGCACACACAGACACACTCACTCACACACATCATGTACAGCATGTACGCAATAACAGAGTTTCATATACAGCACACAGACATACGGGCAGCTACCTACAAAGCATTTTGCTTCCTTCCTTCAAGTGTAAATCAGATCAGATTTTGTCCATCTTGCTCATTTCACACATTCACAATGCTCCAATGACTCAGTGTCGTTACTCTAGCAATCAAACAAAAGAGGTGAAGTGTGAAATGCAGACATACTGTAAAGGTGGGTGCTGTTAGCTTCTGTGTCCAGCGCAGGCAGAAGCTCGTGTTTGCAGCTGAGGTGAAGTTTGTTAAGTGTTTTAGAGTAAGTGAGCTCTGCTGTCACTGAGAGGCTCTACAGTGAGTTGCACAAACAGGGCAGCTCTCAGACCTTGGATATGTCTTCTAAAGGCGGATTAAAAAAAACAAAACAAAACATGGCTTACATTTATTAAAAGCCTTTCGTGTTTAGGTTTGATTTTCCCAATATTATGGCAGTGATTGCTATATAACTTTAAGGATCTGCAGTACCGACTTTGGACTGGTGGTTCATAGTATTTGCTGTAACACTGAACAACCTATACATTTTTCTGACAGCTAACGGTAACACCTCATTAGGTGATTCATTAGCTGCTAGGTAACACTGTTTGTTTAGCATTTGGCATTTAAAGTGGAGAGGAAGTGATACAACTTTACAAATAACTCAAAAAAAAAATAGAAAAAGGCTTTGATTGTCTTCACGCAATTCTTTGTGAGGAGAGATCTCCCTGGATACTTTAACAAAAAATACTTTTGCGGTTTTATTGAGCACAGAGGAAACAGAAGCATTTCAGGCAAGGTGAGTAGAGGAGGAGGAAGGGAGAGATTGGACTGCAGAGGGGGGAGGAGACGAGAAGGCAGACAACAATAAAGTGAAATCTAGTGGAAAAACATAGAGGAATCTTTAAAGTCCTCCTTGTCAGCAACTTTCTAGCCTCACTTTGAGTTGGGCCGCAGCTCCTGTAGTGTATCTCTCTTCTGTTAGTCGTCTCGAATGACTGGCTGAGAAAGTCTTTTCTCACTGCTTCTGGTTGCAGTGTCAGGTATATCAGAATAGACAGAGTGGCACTGTTAGCTGATTATCTCGCTCTCTTTTTTGTTACGGTTAAAATGTGCACCATCCAAATAAAATGTTGCCGAAACTGGACGCAACAAGCAAAGGAATGTGAAGCCCATAAATCCACAGCACAGGGTTTATTGCTGGTAGGTTTCAGACCTCCACCTGCCCCTGTGTCAGGTGAGCCCTGAGCTGCTGGGCTGCACTGACGATCTTCCTCTGGTGTCCCAGCAGGTTCACGCCGAGATCCTGGACGTCTCTGAAAGAGAGTTCAGACAACAATATTCAAATCTTGACAAAATCAATGTGTAAGAGCAACATAAAATTACCAAGGAAATTTTCTAACAGTTTGGATTATCCCAGAAAGTTGAGTCAGTTCACCTGGACGTTGCATTTTCTCCCACTGAAAACACAACTTTCTGGAATTTCCTTACCAGGATGATTCAGCATCGATTTTCCCATCCTACTGTTGCCAAAGTCCATCCATCCATCCTTTTTGCTTAGGCTGCTGCCCCTGCGACCCGGCCTCGGATAAAGCGGATGAAGATGGATGGATGGATGGATGGATGGAAGAAAAACTTTTGAGATCAACAAAAAACCTGTGCGAAGCACACAGGTGTAATCTACAAAGTTTTATGATGATGGTTGAAATCGGAGCTCAAGCATGGGTTCTTCATGCATTCGTTCCTCTTGGACCTTCTTGGACCCTCGTGCTAACTACTGGCCCACCATTCTGTCCCTATTCTATTCTAAGATTGTTTAAAGAATTAAATCTGCAGGTTGCAGAAGTTTCTCCTTTCCTTATCTTATGGTGACTTGTTTTGGTTATCAGATACCTACAAAAACTGCAAAATCCTCTCGGCTATGTGTCCCTCATCAGTTGCACCATCAGAGCACCTTTATCTTATGGTGTCTGTTTCATAACACTAAAGGAGTGCTCAGTGAGTTGCAATGAGACACCTACAGGTCCTGACCAAGCACCAGTATGCAGGGCTGCACTGAAATGTTTTTGTGCACTGAAATGCACAAAAAAAAATCGGCCTTGGCACTTTTGTTGCAGTCGGTCTATCGCGTCTCTCTCTCTCTCTCCCTTCTTCTATTTTCTTATTATTCTAATTTCATTTCCCTCTGTCTGTCTCTCACTCTGTTTTTGGGACTGGTGTCCCTCCGCCTGCACAGCGTCTCCACAGCTAGTGCTACAGCTGCCTCCTGTGTCTATGAAGGCTCATTACTGCTTGTTGCTGGTACATTACTACTGTTGACGGCGCAGCAGCAATTGCCCTGACAGCTAACATGTTGCTCAATTTGACATTTCCTGTATCTATTTCTAGCTTCTCTTTCTTCGTCTCTCTTAGCTTTCAGCGCCACCTTTTCAGCTCTTCTTTCACACTAAACTCTGTTCAATAAGGTGTGTAAGAACACAGCAAAGATTGGGGAGGGTCCAGTTGCATAAAGAGATTTGATAGGGCAATACAGTAATGAAAATGAACAAAAAGGCTGCCAGTGCTTCTGGCACAGTCTAAAAGTGCGTCGGCCCACTGGGCTCTTTACCACTATGCGACAACTCGACTTGAGGATTCAGTGGATACCAGGTGGCTGGTGTGCTTGATAATACTCATGACATAGCTAAAATGAAATTAATGACTGATCTAATTAAATCTTAAGTCAAGAAGCCAGCTTTAAAAATGTTTGATATATTTTTCTGTATTTTTACGTTTGTAACTATCCATGCATACTCACTCCATCGTAAGCTTGCTGACGCTGTCTAATGTGTCCAGGTGCGCTCGATCAAACTCATCCTGATACCTCTCCATCCTCAGCGCTTTCAGCCAATCACTGACTGTCACCACTGACGATAAGTCTGTGGGAGTGGGGCTGAGCAGCGGCTGGGAGCAGCTTCTGTAAATGTCAAAAATGAGAGCACGAGAATCCATAACTGCAGCAGATTGTGCATCACCTGCTGCCTCGGATATGCTTTGCAGGTGCGTTTGCCAGGAGCTGGCGTCTCACCGAGTTGGCTCAGCTTTGAGGGACGCGGGGTGCCTGATGAGTCGATCCAGAGAAGACAGGACTGAGTCGAAACCTGGTCGGTCTGCCCGCTCAGCCTGCCAGCACTGAAGCATTAGAGAGTGGAGGGCAGGGGGGCAGTTGTGGGGGGCCGGGAGACGGTACTGATCTGCTACTGCCTTCATCACCTGCAGACACAAAGAGGAAGGCATCAGACAGAAGTAGGGCAGATGGAGTCTTGTGCAATTAGCCTCCATGAAAGGTCACAGATCTCTCAGAGCTTTCAAGAATGACTAAGAGAAAATTATGCAAATTTCATCAGTTTGGCATTTTGTCACCATTTAAATATGCCTGTTGTGTAACAGGAGGAGGGGGAGGGAAGTACATTTAAGTACTGGAGGGCCACATTTGTGTAATAATACATTTATTCCTCTAGATTACTGAAATATTGTACATAATGAAGGCTGTTTTAACAGCTTAAGCATTTAAAATATGATTTACACAGCACAAATTCATCTTTATTTTGCAGATACAGTATTTTCTGCATCTGTCAGCGTCGGTAGTGATTTGATTTTATTGGTACTTTATTGCTACATGATGCACTGAATGCAAAATTTAGGAGATTTTTTGTTAAAAACTTCACATTGGCTGAGAAAGGCAGATAATAATGCCTAATCCATGAGCTTGGCGAAACGTTAATTTGGGCTAAAGAAGGACTTCATTAGATCACTGTGATCCCATTTATTGACTTCATGAGCACCTCATTCTTATGAATGATATGAATGCTGTAGCTCAGGAACAGCTGGAAGAAATATTTATGGTGCAAATATCCGTTTGTACTCGAAGATGAAGTTCAAGATCACTTTGATGTCACGTTTTCTGATGTATCTTAAGAACTTATATGCAAAATATGAAAAAAAATCCCAAAGGTTAAAGGTCAGCTTCACTTTGACATCATAATGTTAAATACACTTTTCTGTCTAATATTTAAAACATGAGCAGAGGGCACCCTTTAGTCCAATACTGAATTGCTTTTGTTGATATGTAATTTCTTGAACACTTTATTAAATTATGTATTATAAGACTTTGAAAAAACTCAGATGTAAATTGCCACCTGACAAATTAGTGGAAGAACACAACAGCAAAGCAGTAATTCTAGTTAACTGTATATTGTTACACCATAATAAAGATAAGTGCACTATAGCAAGGGTTTTGCACATTTGCTTCTTTAACAATTCAGGAAACATTTTTCTTCATACTCACCTCTTGATTGCTCATGTCCCAGTACGGACGCTCTCCATAGGACATAACTTCCCACATCAGTATTCCAAAGCTCCAGACATCACTAGCTGAGCTGAACTTGCGATGCTGAAATGCTTCAGGTGCCGTCCATCTCACAGGAATCTTACTGCCCTGATAGATGAAAACAGAGCAAAAACATATACAGCCACTCAGTGATGATGGAAACCAAGCTAAAAGGCGCTCCTTCCCTTCTAACCTACCAGTGAGGCAGTGTAAGTTGGTATGTTGTGGTCCAAGCCCCTCATAAGCCTGGAGAGGCCAAAATCAGATACTTTACAGACCAGGTTGGAGTTGACCAACACGTTCCTGGCCGCCAGGTCTCGGTGAACAAAGTTTCTCTCAGAGAGGTAACGCATCCCTGCTCCAACTCCCCTGAGCATCCCGACAAGCTGGAGGACACTGAACTGACCTTCGTTCTCCTGAAGAAATTAAGAGACATGATGGAGAAAAAAAAGTCTCCAGTGTGGTGTAGCATGTGCAGGAATTCCTGACAGTGCGTTGTTTTTCTCACCCTGAGGAAGGCATCCAGGGGCCCGTTCTCCATGAACTCAGTGATGATCCTCTCTGGAGGGGTATGGGTGATAACACCCTCTAGTTTCAGGACATTGGGGTGGTCAAACTGTCCCAGGACTCCTGCTTCACTGAGGAACATCCCCTTCTCTCTGTCTGATGCCCCCCAGCGCAGAGTCTTCACTGCTACCAGCACTTCCCTGCGACCCAGCGGATGGTAACGACCACGAGAAACCTCGCCAAATTGGGCTGTAATGGAATAAACACGGAGGAGATTACACTGTGCTGCTGCCAGCACGTAACAACAGCAAGACTTAAAAGAAAGGAGACCATGAAACGTACCTGCACCAATCACCTCCTCGATCTTGAGGTGAGTTGGGTCGATCTCACGGGCAAATTCTTTGACGGCCTCGCTAGGGTCCTCATAAGTGGATGGGTCAACGTAATACTTAACTCCACCTGGGAACAAGAAATCTACTTTTGAAAAACTGATTCAGAACTTTTAGTCCTTTACTTTAGACATGTAATCCCAAAAACAAGGTAAAAATGATCTTTTATAATGCAAAGCTGATGAGCTTTACTTTACACACAGATAGCATTTCTTTGTATTATTCATTTAATAATAAACACATAGAGCATCTTTATTTTTTTCCTATAAAAAAACAATGAATCCCAAAATAAATAATTCATTTTATTATATGTCACTCACCTCTGTTACTGATGTACCTCTGGAGTCGGTCACTGTATGGACTCTCCCTCCTCTTACTGCCATGTAAAAGCAGTCAAAAACTGTAATACCAGATTAAAACATACATGCATTCATCTGTTACGGCATTTATACCACAACCAACCTGCGAAACACCACCACAACCACAATGGCTGCCACGACAAGGAGAAACGCGGCCCCACCCATGACTGAGCCCACCAGCAGAGGAAGCCGGGTCTGGATTTGCTGTGAATGCTCCTCTGCGGGAGAGAAAATGAAACACCTTCAGCTATCAAGTTCAAATGTGCTTTTATTGGATATACAGACCACTTTATCTTTAGCTACAGCGATATATGTTCTATTTGAAAGTTTGATATTGATGTTAATACTGAGGCAGAGATGTTTTCTTAGTATTAAAAATGACAAAATAACTACAGAGAGATGTTTGCTGTGTTCATACCGAGGTGTTTAACCTCTTAATTTTTGGATTCAGGTGTTTTCAATCCTATTCCCACAGGTGCAGCCATGCAGCCTGTTTTTAGAAACATCTGTAAAAGCATAGGTCATTCTAAATGCCCCCCTGAGGTCGAGCGTGGGAACTTATTCCTCCTAGCTATTCCACAATCAACGGTAAGTTGTATTATTGCGAAGTGAATACGCTCAGGAACCACAGCAGCTCGGGCAGGAAGTGGCAGACCATGTTAAGTTATAGCACAAGGTCACTGAGACGCACCTTTCTGCTGATTCAATAACTGCTGAGTTTCAAACCTCTGACGTTAACATCAACACAGAAACTGGTTCACGGTGTGGGTTTCCATGGCCAAGCAGCTGCTGCAGGTGAAATCTGTAGGTGGCCCAGGACATGTATCCATATAGTGTAACTTTGGCCCTTCTAGTGTCACCATCCCGGTTCTGATTGTAGGTTTTTGAGGTTGAATTCTTTCTTTTTCAGGTGTTCAGAGTTTTGTTATGTCTTTTTTGTTTTTGAGGATTTTTGGAGCCTTTAGTTCTTGTTTTAATTTAGTCAGTTTTAGAGTTTAGAAGTGTTCCTTCAATAGTTCCTGTCTCAACGTCCTGTGTCTGCCCACTCTTTAGCTCCGGTTTCTAACTTACTCTTTTATTTTGGCAGTCATTTCTCTCCTGCGCTTCGATTCTTTCCCCTCCTGTCTCGCTGTCTTTGATTATTATCACCTTTAATTTTGCTACCCTGGTGTGTCCACTTTTTCTAATTATATCACATCTAGTCGCTGATAGCTGGTTTTGTGCTTCTGGTTTGCAACACCGTCTTCTCATTTCTACATGATTAAGTTTACATTGAGCAAAATAAAGTGCACTGAAAATGATTCACAGTTCATTCTTTGTTCCCTAGTTTCTCTAATTGCTATCCTGAATTTATCATGCTATCCTGACATCTTCCTCTGGTCTTACTCTTACTATTTTTTATGTGAATGGTAAGGCCTTATATTAACCGCTAAGCTTTGTATTACATATAGTAATGCAACTTCACTGAGATGAATGTAACTGCAGTTACAGTAACTGAAAGCTGCCCCAGCTTTTGTCTGTTTTTCCTTTGTAAATGCTTGTTTTTGTACTAAGTACAGTCGTGCACACCCACACTCAAACAACAGCATGTGCATTTATTTTAATGCTTATGCCAATGTGATCTTTTGACAGTTTTCTATAATCATTTCAAATCAGTTCAATTCAGTTGTATTTATATAGCATCAAATCACAACAACAGTTGCCTCAACATGCTTTCTATTGTAAGGGACAGACCCTACAATAACAGAATATATACTTTTTTCTTAAACTATAAAAAAATAAATGACTGTGCGCATTACCTAGAGGCAGCGTCGTGAAGTAGATGGTGTTGCTGTAGGGCCCGTAGCCTCGCTCATTTCGAGCTCTGATCTGGAAGGCGTAGATGGAGCCGGGAATCAGAGACTTGACGGTCACTGTGTTAGTCTCACTGTACACAGTCAATGCGCTGTCCACGTCTGAACCCTGACGAACAGAGAGGAAGGGTCTGTTGTTTGGGCTCAGTTTGTTTTGTGTACAATCACGGCCAGTATGCTCAGTAAAGGATGACTTTGTGTGTATTTACCCAGCGAACACTTAAACGACTGTTGTTTTGTTGTTTGAATGCCATACTGCGTTATGGTGGAGAAAATGGTTCCATTATAAAACATCTTGTTGCCTGCGCAGGCTGGCCATTGTGAACATGAGTTAATGTTCTTCTTGTAGTTTCTAGCACATTTTTGTACATTATAATTTTGTCAGTTAAACAAAGAAATCTAAATAATTCTGGTAATACTGGAAGAGTAAGACAGGCTGCAGTCAAAACAGCAAGATCATCCTCACTGCTGTGAAAACAGGCCAGCTCACTAATAAAGAATACACCACACGTCGGGTAGGTAGAGAGATGCTTGTAGTCACGGTGAAAGTCAAGAGGCCCATAAAAGCTCACCATCCAGTACAAGATGGTCTTCTGCTACAGATTTGATGTGTATTCAGAGATGCTCTCTGCATACCAAGGCTGCAACAGGTGGTTATTTGGGATGATGTTACTTTCCAATCAGCATCAAGGAGTTTGACTATTCTCCTTTGACTTCTGGGATCAGCAAGACATTTTCACCCAGAAAACCTGATATTTTCTCTTTTTTGAACCACTCTCTTTAATTTCTAAAAACCATGCCACGTTCAAAGTCACTGAATTCACCTTTCTTCCTCATCCTGATGCTCAGTTTGAATTTCAGCTGGTTATCTTGACCACGTCTACATACCTAAACGTGCTGAGCTTCACGTAATTGGCTGATTAGATATTTGTGTTAAAAACATGTTTATGGCAAAACCAGTCCATAGAGTTGATACTGCATCTGTCTCATCACAACCATTTCGTAACCAAATAACTTGGTTTTGTAAGAGAGGTTGTGACGTCCCCTCACAACCAGCTGCTATCAAACTGAAAAACGAATGCTGAAACCTTCTGCCGGTATTTGTGACTTCACTGAACATACCTTGTCATAGTATCTGAGCTGATACTCCAGGATGTCTCCATTAGGCCTGTCTGGCTGAGGCCACGACAGAGTGATGGAGTCCGGGGCCCGGCTCAGCTGGTGCATCATAGGAACGGTACTGGGAACTGTGGGTGACAAGAGACGATACTTGAGCACGTTAAAACAGGAGAGCTGTTAGTTCACAAGTGACAGTGCCCACATGAGGGCAGTGTTACAAAACATGTAGACAGAATTCAGTTGAGCGTAAAAGTGAAGTAGGAGTTTTTATGGTGCACCAGTCAGGATCTAGTTTCACTCAGTGAGCTGGGAGCAGTTAAAGGGAACTTTCTGGCATTCCATTCATTTGATCAATAAGCTCTGAGAGCACTCACAGGAAGATTTTAGATAATGTGAGCTCATTGAACCTCCGAGCCAGTCTTGATCGGTTTCATGGAAAATTGTATAATGGTGTACTTGGTGTGCACAATGCCCCATTCTCCTCTCCTTTGCCCACTCATCTGCTTTCATCTTTCTTTCTCTCCGTCTCTTTGTCTTCCCATCTCTCATTTGTCCCTTTCTTCCTCCACAGTGACCATAATGGGATCTGACAGGATTTTGTAACCTCGAGCAACCTCCCGTTCAGAGAGCAGGAGCAGAAAACATGGAGCAAAGAGACTGAAAGAGAGGGGAGGAGGAGGGGGAGAGAAAACTGACACACACACACACACACACACACACACACACAATCTACGCAAACGTCATCATCAGAGCGTCTCTTCCTCTTTCATCTCATCTTTTTCATCGTCTCCGTCCTGTTCTCACCTGACTGGCTCGTAGTGAAATTGATGCTTGAGTATCGAACTGGGAAAGGACTCAAAGCTGACACTTCATTCATGGCTTGCACCTGTCAATACCAAGAACACACAGATGTGAATTTCAAAGCCTTTTCCCCCCCATTTATATTTATGACACGCTTCAACGTTTGAGAAACAAAGACAGACACGTGCAGCGTCCACTATGACAGGTCAACAAACGCCAGGAAATAGGGAAATATCTGTCCATTATGAATAAGGAATAAGCGATGCTTTAGTCAAGGTATGCCGAACTAAATATTAAACGTTGGTGTGTATTTACTGATGCGGCACTTATAATAAAATAATAGAGCACAGTGGATTCATCTCATCTGTGGGTCCAGGAAGTGCTTCAAACTTTGAGTGAGATAAGACAAGGAAGAATCTTTCGTTTTTCCACAGCACCTGTATGAGATACGTGACCCTGGTCAGCAGGTTGTTGAGGGTGACCTTGGTTTGTTTCAGGTTGGTCTGGGAGGGGCTGAAGGTGACGCCCTCCCCACACCAAGAGCACAAAGCCGAGTTGGTGAAGGTCGGTGACGGACAGATGCGACACACCACCCCGTACCACACCTCACTTCGGCCTCCCATGTCCACCGGAGGGCGCCACCTCAAGGAAACCCCACCATCGCCGCTCTCATACTCCCAGGTCAGAGAGACAGGAGCAGACGGAGGAGCTGCGGAGAAAGCAGAGATGGGGAGAATGGGAGGAGTTTGACATACATAATGCAAGCGGTGGACTCTAAGATGGAAGCATCTGGTAAAATGTTTAAGATATGAAAGAACCTGCAGGCTGGCAAAGACATTTATGCAATGAAAAGTAATGGAAAAAACTTTATAAAATAGTTTGATGGTGAGGCAATTTCGTATGAACGAGCGTAGGAAAGTTTCATTCTTAACAGGTTTTTCCGTTGGTGCAATTTAAAGATTAAAAAAGTCTTTAAAAGCAAAAGGATTTTGTTCCACTGACTGTGTATCTCGGTTCTCACAGTCTGAGCAAATGACAAATGACTCCAATGAGGCCCCTTGAACGCCTCGCAGAGGAGCCAGGCGTAAACAAACAAACAGACAAAGCTCACTTGTGCAGGCAGAAGAGTTGGCATCGCTGGCGGCCCGGTAAAAGCCGCTGCGACATTCACACACACTCGATCCCTCATGGCTGGTTCGGCTGTTGGATGGGCACACAGTGCAGGGAATAGAGCCTGAAATAGACTTAAAGTAGCCCACAGGACAGGCTGTAAGGAGACATGAAGACAGAAGAGAGGTTGTGTTTTATTAACAGCTTGCGGTTATATAAATAAAGTGATCACTGCTCCATTAGCGGTGTTCACTGCTATGAGTTTGCAGGTTTAAACTATGAAATGCTGCAGCTGCTGTTAAAGAAACAAGCTTCAATTTGGGCTCAGATGCACATACCACTATTTTTTTTTTATATGGTCAGAAAATAACACACTGATAACATTCAAGCCAGTTAAGAATAGCCAGCACTTGGATTTGTCGCTGAAATACATTAATAAAAGTGCTAAAATCAGTTCAGCTGACCAAATATCTTTTGCGCTCAGACTAGCTTCTTCTGGACCTTTCAGTGATATCACACCGTCTTTCTCAAAGCTCAGTGGTCAGTGCACTGTTGAAGTAGATAATGGAAAGTAATCTGCATGACATTCAAAGCGAAAACTTGGGAAGACCTCAGCAAGCGGACCTTCAGTTAAGATTGCTTTGTCAACTCTGATTGCAAGGTGCAGCTAATACTCACAGGTTCACTGAAAGTGCACGTGTACATCATGTGCGACGTAGTTTAAATTGAACATCTGGCATTATTCAGACAATTCAGATTTTGTTTTATGTAAGGTCTTTGCGATCTGTATTATGTGCAGCTCAGAAGTCACGAATATCAAAAAAACAAACAAAAAAACCCTCTTACTTAATCCCTTTTTATTGCTCCCCTCATTTTGTCCAGAACAAAATCAAACTGCAGTAACTGGTTTGGGGTTAAGCATCAATTTCAGCTTGGCTTGTGGTTCCCGTTGGTTCAAAAGTTCATCTGAAAGGCAGCGGTCTCTTGTTTGTTGTTGGCTTAACCCGGAACTATCATTAACTTTTGTTTATAGAGGAAGTGGCCAGCGAACCGACAGTCACATACACACACACAAAGACACACACGAAAGGTCATAGTGAGCGTTTTGAAGGTGGAGGTTGACTTATTTACCTCATCTGCACCACTCTCCTCCTGGACAATAAGCAATACGATGATATTACTTACAGAAGCGTTAGTTTACTTCAGCATAAAGACTGTAAACAGGAGGAGACGGTTTAGCCACAGTCTCATGTGGTAAAAGCAATTAATGATAAATATTTATACACACCATAATTAGGAGTTCGAGTGTGTTGATTTGTGAGCTGTAGGGCTGCTGTAGGGCAAATTTGTCTCACTTTGGACAGAATTGGATGTTTTTATTCTCCTTTTGCAGTATTTATGCTAACCTGGCCTAACCGACTGCTTATATGATTTGTATTTATCGTACAAAGAGCAGCAGAGAGAGTGGTGTCAGCCCTTCTAGCAAGTAAGAGTAGAAAATATTTTCCCTAAGTGTTAAAACACTCCTTTAAAGTTTTTTAACTTGTCTAACTTGTCTGAGTTAATATTGCAACTCAAGCGTGGAAGATCGTTCTTGACCTACCTAACAATAACCTCTGTAATCCCTTCATGGCAGCAGTTTTTGTCTGACGACGGTGGTCTCTTTCAGCAGAGTAATGCACCCAGTATTTGAGGAATATGTAAAGGAGTTCAAGGTGCTGTGTAGCCTGTATCAGTGTGACAGATTCACTTTCACCCTACCGAACTTCAAGGATCTGATGCTAACGTCTGGTGCCTGATACCACACGACACCTTCAGAAGTCTCGTGAAGCCCACGCCTCGATGGATCAGAGCTATTTCAGCAGCACGAGGGAGGCCAACACAATATTAGGATTGTGATTCTAAAGTTGCGGCAGAACTGTGTAAAGATATTTATTAAGTACTAAACAATCCTTCTACAGTACTGTGCCTTATATAATGAGCCACTCCTAATTTCTTTATATTTTCTTAAAAACGAGCCAGATTTTCCTGTAATTTCTGTAAAGTTATCTTGAGCATTAGTTCTCTTTCAAGGTTTTTCTTTGCACGCTGGTTGTTTTTTTTCACTCCAGTCCTTGTACATACCCAAGCCATTTTTAGAGGAATATTTTTTTGCTTATTAAGCCACTTAACACCGACCTATGAATCAAGTACAAAAAGGCACCAAAGTCAAGGGATTGACCAGTGTTGTGTCTACACATAAGAGATAATTTCACAAAGAATCTATTTTAAATTGTATCGTTAGGCAATTTGCTCATCCTGGCCTGTCACAAAAGCATAATTCTTTTCCTGTTTCTTTAGACGAATCTTTAAAAATGGCAAAGAAAGCACAATTTGTTGGATTAAATAAAGTAGAGCTGCAATGTGTGCGATGTGTCCTCAAAACTTTTGAGTAAACTGGAAAAATAGATGACAAAGTGAGAAGTGACAGGTCTAAAAAACTATCTACAGCAGATAAACAGTAGCTGAAAGTCCTCAATAAATACATAATGAAGAGCTGAGAGATGAATCTGACCCCTGCGATAGAAACAAATTGAAGAATAGAACAAAAATGGTCTCAGTAAAGGGGTGGGTGTTAAGGCCTAATTGCACAAGAACTGAAATTAAGATCAGTGCTAACAGGTCTTATGGAGTGATGAATCAAAATTTGTGATTTTTGGTTCAAATTATCAACATAGAATAGAGACAGGTACAACAACGAGTGTCTGCAGCCATCTTTAAAACGAGGTGGAGGCTCTGTCATGGTCAAAATTGACAGAATTATGAACACAGAAAAATATGATACACCATGCAAAATGACCTAGTAAGTGTTTCATTGGCAATGACAATGATCCCAAACAAACTAACACTGTGCAGTAAAAGCATACCTGGATAGAAAAATACACAATGTAATGCTATTAGTCGTGGATTGGCCTCTACATTGACCTTAACATTATTGAAGCACTGTGAGATCATCTTGACAGAGAACAGAACAAAAAGACAGCCAACATCCAAAGAAGAGCTTTGAATGTCCTTCATGAAGCCCGGAGAACGATTCCTGAAGACTTTAAGAAATTACAAGAAAACTTTCCTAAGAGAGTTTAGGCTGTGTGGTCATACCAATTATTAACTTTCAATGCTTACTTGTTAGAACTGTACAAGCTCTCTTGTTCCCTTATATAACAAATTTCCATGTATGTTTGGACACATTTCAATAAATCGCTGCACGCATTTCTCATTCTCCAAGCAAAAAATAAAGAAACAAGGGTTTTCTCAAGACTTTAGCACATTACCGTAACAGGACCACTTCATTCCTAGGCAAATATTTCCCTATTAAAACATTTTATTGGCCTTTTTTAATAAAAAGGCCTACTGTCCTCATATGTATTCAGGAATCATGTGCTGGAATTCATAATCCATTGGAACTGTCAAATCAAGTCACATTCAAGCATAAATTGATTATTTCTCTCGCTCTTTCTCTCTCATACGCACACTAACACGCACGCACGCACACAAACAAATACCATTTGAACCTGCAGGCTGTGTTATATGACAGAAAAATCTGTGAAATCTGCCAGTTGTTAATGTCAACTGACCGCTGAGGTCAAGGTGACTGACACATGACTTCATGCTGCTGCCAGCCTGAGCCTCGAGTGCTCGTACTTATGAGGATTTTGAGTCCACAGCCTCCAGGTTGGTCTGCTGCCATTTTTACACTGCGAGTGTGTGTGGGCATGTGAGTGCCATTAAAGGAGTGTCGGCTAAAGGTTGCATCGTTCAAAATGTGCTCCCTTTGTCTGAAAGCTAAATGTAGAGTATGTGCGTATCCTCAGACAGACAACCTCTTGTATTGTTGAGTGCAAATGGCACACTAAAAACAAAAAAACATGACCCAGCAGTTTCATATGTTTTTGGAGCCTTACAGTACCCTCGGAGTTGGAGAATGAGAGCGAGGGCATCAGTGGGAGCAAACCCCTGACCTCGCTTATATAACCTTGTCAAGAATGCGTAGCATGTCTTAAACTTGACGTGCTAAAAGAGCGCACGGATGCATTTATGCATGCTTGGCGCTGGTGCAGCAGTGTGGGAGGGGAAGATAAGAAGGCACAAAGTGGAAAAAAAAGTGGAGAATAAACAGATAAAAGGCTTCCTGTGTTCTCACTTGTCTCTGAGAGCGCACCTTGCTTTCAAACAGGTGTGAAGTGAGAAAAAGGAAGGGGGACTAAAATAATGCGAAGACAACAAAGAGAGACACCAAACTGGGGAAGAAGTGAACATGGAGACGGATGGACTGAGACAGCTGTAGGATGAACAGCAGGATTATGTATATAAGCCTGAGATGATGGGTGACAATGAGGAAATTGAAAGTGGAAAGCAGCAGGAGGGCGACAACAGAGGAATAGAGAGGAATATAACTTCCTCCATCTTTTATGTCCCAGATGCACATTAGCAGACGTGTTCTCCTACAGCACTGACATGAAACATGACTTTGCTACAAAGCCTCTCATCACCAGCGTTATGAGCTCCCTCAACCCCCTCCTCCTCCTCCTTTCCCTCCCCCTCCTCTCCCGCATCCGCCCGATTTGAGCAGCCAATGAACGTGCAGAGCCCTCTGCCCTCTTGCTTGATCTGCATCCCTCTCTCAGTCACCCACCCAGCAATAAAACAGAAAGCGTACCACCATTATAAGCTCAGTCACAGATGCCTTTACATTACAAGTGTGCAAAAGTGCACACAGCAAAGTCCCAGCGAGCCCTGCCAACAAAACAAACGAGCGTCTCTGGCAATGACAGATATAAATATCGCTCGTTTGTTGAGGTGACTCAAATGCAAACTGAAAAGATTGCACGATTAAGCGTCAGAAAATTAATCTCCGACTACACACACACTTTGATAATTTATTTGTTTTTCATCTTTTCGAACCAAAGGTAAGGATTTTCTGCTTAAGTACAGTTAAAACTTTGTGCTTTTGATAGATGGAAATAAGCAATTAGTATTTTGAAAAGGGACCGTTCGCAAACAAACAATAGACGAGCTGAAAATGTGAATACCGATGTGCTTACAGCTTCACCCTAACTTTACACAAAGAAAAAACTGAGGTCTTATTTTTAAATATATAATACCTTTAAGTCTTGATTC